TTCAACTTTAATTACATACATATATGAAAAGTGCTAACTGCTTCTGTGGGTCCTCTGTTGTGATGCCAAAATAAGAGGACATGGCTAACATGTTTAGCTATGTTGGAAATCTTCCATTGGCTAGTTTTACCTCATTTATAATCTGTCATTGCAGAAATCAAGGCCTATTGAAGGCTTTGATTCTTCGCAACATTTGTACTCAACATGGATATGCTTGGTCACCTGCAGTTTGGTATCACATGCTTCTTTTGGCCCACAGCCAACATATGTCCAGATTAGTTCCCCCTCTAAAATGAGCCAGAAAAAGAAGAGGAAAAGATGCAGTGAGCCACTTTAGTCATATTAACTATCCAGAGTATAACACAGTCCAGTTTCTTTGTCCTCAACACAGATCAGGCATGAACACAGAGAACAATGAATCTAAAGAATGAGGGTGAGGTTTCTTACCTTCATAGGCATTGACTATATTGCAGCTTTCCAGTTCAGGGTCAGCTATGCAAATCCGGTCAGAGCCTTCAACTCCAATACATCCTTCTTCAGTCACTGTGCAGTCCCGACATAGCAAAGGATCTGCTCCAAAGACAATTTTCACAATTAAGCACATTCCAAACTACTGCTCAAACTCACACTGAATTGTGCATTCTGTGCAATAATTTTCTCACAGCACAACTTTTTACTGTTTGGGCTATTTGGTGACGAATTTGAAGAACCATCAGCCTACAGATAGCACAGTTGGTTCAAACATGGTGCTGATAAGGTCAAGGTCACAGGTTCGATACCAAAATGAGACAGCTACATAGTCCTCCATTGCAGGGGATTGGACTAGATGATCCTCAGGGTCCCTCCCAATTCTATGATTCAATAATTTATTATGACTGCTTCCTCTGCCCCACATTTATGATTGAGTTCTGTAGCTTCACAATGATATGTATGTTGTGTCATCCCCCCTATTTCCAATGTTTCAGAATAAATGTTTTTAAGCATCCAAAACAGCACCATTGACAACGAGGCATGAGGAACCACCCAAAATACAGGAGGGGGTCACATAATCATGTGAAGAGAGGGATAAATAGAAGAGAAGTATGGGGAGAGATTGGGACGCGGGTGGAGCTGTGGGTTAAACCACAGAGCCTAGGACTTGCCGATCAGAAGGTCGGCGGTTCGAATCCCTGCAACAGGGTGAGCTCCCGTTGCTCAGTCCCTGCTCCTGCCAACCTAGCAGTTCGAAAGCATGTCAAAGTGCAAGTAGATAAATAGGTACCGCTCCGGTGGGAAGGTAAACAGTGTTTCTGTGCGCTGCTCTGGTTCGCCAGAAGCGGCTTAGTCATGCTGGCCACATGACCCGGAAGCTGTACGCTGGCTCCCTCGGCCAGTAAAGCGAGATGAGCGCCGCAACCCCAGATTCGGTCATGACTGGACCTAATGGTCAGGGGTCCCTTTACCTTTTATAGGGAGAGATTCATTGTGGTGGGGTTCCAGCCCCATGAGGAACACACATGTTCAGTGGTTGCAGAATACTAACTAGGTGGGGAGTGGAGGAAGAGGGGCATGGGAAGTATTTTGGAGGAGCATGTGGCTGGCTGTCAGAAGCATTGAGCAGGAGTGCTCTACACTGCAGCATTTCCTTAAAGACCCCACATGTTTATTCTGATTGATAATGTGCCCTAAGATCACCTTTGCTCTTCCTTATGTAGCCTGGTGTCTCCTCTGATCTCCTGAAATCCACCACTGCAATATGAAATCCAGGCATCCAGAACCCTGAGCCATGGAGGCTGGGGAGGCAGCCTGGCTTTTTTTTAAAACCCTCATAAATATAGTAAGAAGATATTTGGATTTTCTTTTTATGTTAGAACACATCAAAATTGCCCCTTCCTTTAAAAAGAAAGAAAGAAAAAGAACTGCTCTTATCTATTTTTTGACATGTAGATCCATTGCCAGCCAAGTCCAACTGCCACTAAAGGTTGTTTTCTGCATGTTACACTCGAGTGAAAACCCTTCTCCGATCCCTTGTCAATGGACCTTACCTCCAGATGTGAGGAGGAGAAAGGCAGATATTGCAAGGAGCAGGATCTGATTCTTCGGGGCCATCTTGGAATCGAGAGGGTTCTGTGGTCACAGCACAGCTCAAGTCACACTGGCTTTCAGCAAACTGGAGAAGAGGCTTCCTTTTATCCCCATGAAGAGACATCTCCAAAAGAATCCAAGAGAACATCATGTCCCCTGAAGAGGATCAAAGAGACTGCAGTGTGGTCCTGTCAGCCCACTTGTGGACAAAATAAGAAGCTGTAATAGATACAACCCCACAATTATAAGTGCATTTACGTGTATATAATTAACTATGAATCCTATTTTTAAATTAATTTCAATTAATTATAGCAGGGGTGAGCAAACTTTTTCAGCTTGGGGCCAGCCCACTGTCCCTCAGACCTTGTGGGGGGGCCGGACTGTATTTTGGAAAAAAATATGAACAAATTCCTATGCCCCGCAAATAACCCAGAGATGCATTTTAAATAAAAATGCACATTCTACTCATGTAAAAACACGCTGATTCCTGGACCGTCCACGGGCCGGATTTAGAAAGCAATTGGGCCACTCTCATCCATTTTTTTGACATGTCGATCCATTGCCAGCCAAGCCAAGCCAAGGAATTGCACAAGGTTTGCTTTCTGCAGGTTACACTCGAGTGAAAATTCTTCCCTCTTCCCTTGTCAGTCAATCTGACCTCCAGGTTTGAGGAGGAGCAGGACACAGATTGTAAGAAGCAGGACCTGATTGTTTGGAGTCATATTGGAATCAGGAGGGTTCTGGGTCAAAGCAAATCCCGAATCAGCAAACTGGATCAAGCGCCTTCTTTAATCCTACTGATGACACATCTCAACAAGAACCCAAGACAACATCATGTCCACTTAGGATGATCAAAGGATAAGGGGGAGTGGTGTGACAAGCAATCATTATCAGCCCACTTACGGAAAAAAGAATATATAATTGTGGGGATACAACACCACCATTATAATCATTAACCATATACAGTGGTACCTCGGGTTAAGAACTTCATTCGTTCTGGAGGTCCATTCTTAACCTGAAACTGTTCTTAACATGAGGTACCACTTTAGCTAATGGAGCCTCCCACTGCTGCCGCTGCGCGATTTCTGTTCTCATCCTGAAGCAAAGTTCTTAACCCAAGGTACTATTTCTGGGTTAGCGGAGTCTGTAACCTGAAGCGTCTGTAACCTGAAGCGTCTGTAACCTAAAGTGTCTTTAACCAGAGGTACCACTGTATAATAATTAATTCACGAATGCTCATTTTAAATGAACTTGAATGAAATATATCAGTTGATATCTAATCCAGAACTGATTCTAATAGAGTTTACATATAATACCCCCATTTCATTAAAACACACACACACACACACATTGTGACACATCTGAATGGGATCGGCTCACGTGGACAAAAGAAGCCGCGGCATGGGCCTTCACCAAAATGGAGTAGGTGCTTCCTCCCCACCCCCATATGATGGCATACCTCAACCAAAATCCAAGAGAACATCACGTCCCCTTAGGAGGAGAGAAGATAAATGAGGGAGGGTCAATAAATCAGGCCTTTCATGGTTTTTTAAATTAATGAATTAGAGTCATTAATATCTAATCCAGAGTTGATAAATAACATGGTGCCCTTTGAATTCTCATAATGGGAGAAGCTAATCAGGTTCTTAGCCAGAGGCCTGTCACCCACCCCACTTGCTCACTGATCCTTTTATATTCGGGGATGCCAGGGATTGAACATGTGATGTTCTGTATGCAACACACATAGTGGGGTGATCAGTCATAAACATTATGCCAGTGTGTTGTGCACCCTTGAGACAATGGAAATAAATTCATTTTCAGTCATAGAATCCTAAACTCAAATCAGGCATGGATTTTGCTTCCCTTATCCTTTCTGTACAATGCTGAACAGAAGATAAAACAGATTGGGTGGAAAGAGGTTTTGACATTTAATCTGAAGTGTATGTAACTATTGCTCCCCCCCTCTCTCTCCACTCATTTGCACTGACCATCCCAGATGGGAAGCAAATTAGGAAAACTGCAGGCAAAAGGAATCTGCCAAATGTGACACTACAGGGAAGTCTTAATGCAATTGTACATTGCCTTTTGAGCAGTGCTTTATCAGTGTGCTGTGTGCATGCCTGATCCAGAATTAATTTTATAAGCACTCTTAAATGTTTTTTAAGTACTCTGACTTCTTCCCTTAGATTCCTTTATATTCCCTGCATCGATTCCCAAGTCCACATCCCCTCCAGATTGCACAACTCTCTGGCTCTGCTGCTCACTGCCAAGGACATGTTTATGAACTGTGCCCTTGAACTATTAATGCCTCTTGCTCACCTCGAAGGACAAGGAAAAGTTTGTGTGTGTGTGTAAATCTCTCTCCTTTGCATAGCTATAAAGCAGACTATAGTACAAAGATACATCTGTTACCTAGCTGTCACCGGAACATGCCAGTCAGTAATCACACAATTCAAAGTTGGAGTTAACCTCTTATTAGCAAAAATATCATTTCCCCACCTGAGACATTTGGGGCTGGGTGGCAAAATTCTGTCCCACCCAAGGTCAATTTTGCTAGCGGCCACCCAACATTTTCAGGATTTAAATGCCAGTCCTTTCTCCATTACCACACATCCACAGCAGGGGGGCATTTTAACCAATGCATTTTGACATCTGAGGTTAACCACAAAATGGCACTCCCTCCCAACCAGATAAGAAGGTCTGAGTGAAGATCTGCATCAGAAAACTGCAGCAGTAACATCAGTTCCTCCTGTGCTGGATCCCCTACTCTGCTGGTTTCAGTCCTAGTGGTGTTGCAATCTCCCAGTCCACTCTTGATCACTGTCCAGCCAGTTTGTGAGTTCATGGCACCTAAGAGTTCCGATCCATGCTAAGAAAACTACAAGACTCTCTGTCCATGCCAAAAATAGGCATAGGCTTGAGGGGCCTATGCAGTCATGTCATCAATGCAATAAAAGCAGAAAGTTTGTCCATCTAGCTGGAAGTGAGTGGAGATCAAGACACCTCCTTCTGAATTGCTACGTGGCAGACAGAATCCTCTTGATTCCAAGCTGATCCCGATGGCTCAAATCCTGCTCCTTGCCTTCTGTGCTTTCCTCTATCTTCCTCCTGAAGGTAAGTTCCTTATTCCAGGGCTGAGAGAAGGAGTTTTGATCAAAGATGAGTTGTAGATGTCAACTTCCAAGCAGCTTTAATCTTTCGAGCTAGAGAGCCCTCTCAAGTCTGCAAACAATGATAGAAAGACCAAATTATATAAAAGCATTATATTCTCTCTCTCTGTGCACCTGAGGTTTTCTGTTCGCCTTCAGAGGTAGCCCTGCATAGAGTGTGCAAATGCACACAATCCTTCTGCAAACAGGAAAAAACAACAACATTGTGAACACTTAACTTAGACAGATTCTTATGCAGTTCTTCTTTCTGTGCTAGTGGAAGTGGGTGCAGATCACTCTGGTGAAAAATCCTACTGTGGCAGTGCATGCTTTTTCCCAGGTAGGACTTTCTGGAACTCAGTTCTGGCACCTCTCAGGTGGGCACCATTACCATTATAAGAGAACAAAGGAGGCGTTTTGTGAGTTCGGCACCTGGAAAAATAGCATGGGATATGATCATGCACTAAAGATCCATGAGGTCAATGCAAGATACACAATTTTCGTGAATGTGGCTGTGTTTCAGGCCAGATGGGTGTTGAAAGGTATGTTGGTACTAAATTTGTTAGAAAGGAAAGAGTGGTGTTTCTCCACATAAGTGAGAGGCTGCTCAAGAGAAGCCTCTGCAATACATTTTGAGATGTGAACTGTGTAAGTCTGATACACCATTATGCTGCAGAATGGATCCCTCTGCTGTCTTAACTGTGATAATTCCATTATGGGATCAGATAATCAAAGGTATTAAAGGATAGTTTTGCTTCAGTTCATTTATTGGTCCAGGATGTGTGGAGTCGGTATGTTCACCTTTAAGTCTGAATCCAAAGATGTTATCCACCATCCCCCTTGCCTAGGGCCCGTTTTTGTCTTCTGGAATCTGTGCTTGCTCTCTCTCTGGACATTGCATGCAAACATCACATAGGCAATGCTCCACTCATATTTGGAAAACGTGCAGTTGCAGGAATTAGGAGTGTCAAATATAAAATTATCACACAAAATTCTCCTTCTCACTGGGTTGTTGTCGCATGTTCCTGATACATCTGAACTTGCATGAATCAGCAAATTCACCCTTCACCCCTCACTCCTGCGCACAGCAGCTTAGATAATGGCGGGCACCTTAGCTTCATGAGCTGATTTCAATCAACTTTTCCCCAGTCACCAGCTTTTACACAAATGCCTAAACAGGGATACAATTTCCTTGAAAGCAACAATGGTGGTTCCAGTGGCACCCACAAACTGTGTACCAGCTCCTTCACTGAGAGGACATCCCCGTCCAGGGTAAACTCAATGGGTGTGCCTCCCAGAAATAACAAGGGTTTCTTTTTTCTAGCTGATGCCTTGGAATGTGCATTCTATAAACTGATGCAAGGTGTGAAACCGCTACCCTGCAAAGGCACAAAATGTGCTGCCTCAAAAGAGTATACAATGAGTGAGTTCCCCCAGTTTCAATTTCTTGGGTTTAATTGTAAATGGTGGGGAAATATACTACAGATGCACCTTCCTACTGCCACTGGAGATTGGGTTAGCCTCCTCACTGCTTGCATGGTAATGATGGAAGTGCCATTGACCATGCACATTTCAAGGATGTGGCATGCTTGAGGAATTCTCTGTTTGTTGTTGTTTAGTCATTTAGTTGTGTCCGACTCTTTGTGACCCCATGGACCAGAGCACGCCAGGTCCTCCTGTCTCCCACTGCCTCCCACAGTTTGGTCAAACTCATGCTGGTAGCTTCGAGAACACTGTCCAACCATCTCGTCCTCTGTCGTCCCCCTCTCCTTGTGCCCTCCATCTTTCCCACCATCAGGGTCTTTTCCAGGGAGTCTTCTCTTCTCATGAGGTGGCCCAAAGTATTGGAGCCTCAGCTTCAGGATCTGTCCTTCCAGTGAGCACTCAGGGCTGATTTCCTTCAGAATGGATAGGTTTGATCTTCTTGCAGTCCATGGGACTCTCAAGAGTCTCCTCCAGCACCATAATTCATAATTCTCTGTTTACAACCCCCTTTTCCTTACCAGAATTTTGTTTCTTGTTTCTCTGTAGCAGGATGGGGTGTCATGTATCCTGGAGGGACATCCATTTCCTAACACATTAGCTCACTTCTGACCTGTAGCAGTCTTAGACTTCTCCTCCCGGGAGAAACTGCTCAGGATCTCAGACAGAGGTCTTTCACCTCACCTGCTACCTGATCGCCTGTGAATTCCTTTGAATCCCCTTTGATTCCTGCATTGCAGGTGGTTGGACTAGATGATTCCTTCCAACTCTACAATTCTATGATTTTATGAATTGCAGGTGCCAGGAACTGAACCTCAAACTTCCATAGATATTGTGCTGTCCACATGCTCTACAACAGAGCTCTCACTGTACTCTCAATCATTAGTGTCACCACATTGCATACCCTGGATCAAATGGAAATACGTTTCTTTTCCACCACAAAGAATCCTTAACAAAAATCATTCCTCAGACATCCCTTCCAGATCCTCCAAGTGTCCCTATTTTCTAGGGGCGTCCCTGATTTAGAGAAGCCAGCCAGTTTCTGATTTGTTTTTGTTTTTTAAAATAATTTTTATTACATTTGCAATTAACAAACCAATCATATCACATTAATTCCAAATTATACCAATACATAATAAACTCCAAATATTTAGCCGAATTTTAAATTTTTGTTGGGGGTACCCATGCTTCGAGTTCAGAAAGGGTCTAATCATCTCATATTTCTGCTGCTTTGATATTCACAAGTTCGATCTTTCCATCTCTTTGTTGTAATCCTTTTTCTTCTTAGTAACATCCGAGTATTTCCACAGGCAAGTTGAATCAAACATTATTTATGTTTCTGTGTGAACTTTGTAATCCATCTCACATTGATCCAAAAGTCCTGTTCAAGCCATTTTCGACAATTCCAATGAAATACAGTCTAAGCGTCTACTCCTTAATTTCCCCAGACCAGTTGCTCCATAAATCAGTCTCTCTAGGGGAGTTTTTGCCCACTCAGATCTACAATCCTTACATGAAAGCAAAACGGTGGCTCGCCTCCCCCTTTGACTGTAAATCTCGCAACAAAGTCTGTCTCATAATGGCAGATCCCAGTAATAACTGCGCAACAGGAAAGCCTTTCTCTTTCCAGATCTTCCAAAAACAAAGCCTTTAGTTAATATTTTTGTTTCCACACAGTTTATTTTCCAATCTCACTTGCTATCGGTTCTTCTAGGGGAGGGTTTGTTAGGTAAAACATATTGAAAAAGAAGGAAATCCCCCCCCCTTCCAGTCCGTTTCAACATACCGACATAGCTGTGATTCTTTGCTGCAGTCTTCTGTTCAATCCGTCCCATCACTCTTAACTTCTCAGTGGTAGATTTGATTAGCAGATAAAACACCCTTTCCTTCGCTCGAAACATGTGCATTTACTTTTACATCCAATTATTTTATCTTAAGCAATGCAACTAGGTCGCACTTAGAAGCAGCGTCCGGGAGATCCAGAATCTCACTCGAGGGCTTTCCGTCCAGTGCCCTCACCCCCTCCTTCTTTCGAACTCGGGGGTGATTTATTGGCAACTGCGGCAACTGCGGACGAGGCAGTGTCTCCCCATCCTCTGGGGAGACCCCGGGAGGCTGATTTACTCCCATTGTCAGCCTCTTAATTACCTCGTGTGAGCCGGAGAGATGGTATTGTCGGCCATCTTCCAAGGTGCCCCTAGCGGCCCCCCTCCAGTTTCTGATTTGATCCCGGAATATCCCGCTTTTCCTTAGGATGTCCCTATTTTCACTGGAGAAATGTTGGAGGGTATGGAGTTATCCGAACCTCGAGCTGTCCGAAGGCAATCCTTTATAGGGAAGGGTTTCTTTTAATGTTCAATGTTTTATTGTGTTTTTATATATGTTGGAAGCTGCCCAAAGGGTTGGGTAACCCAGTAATATGTGTGGGGTATAAACAGTAAAAATATCATTATGGAATGGGATGTCCCAATTTTCACTGGAGAAATGTTTTGGGGTCATGTCCTTATCCTTTTTGCATAATGGGCAGAAGAATAGCTTAAGGTGCATCAACCTTTCAAAAGATGGGGGCGGGGAAGTGTTTTGACATCTAATGCGAAGTATATGTTACTATTAGTGAAAATAAAATGCTAATGCTTGTTCCTATCCTCTCTCTCAATTTATTGTTCCCACTACCGTCATAGATGGGGAACTGAAAGAAGTGGTTTTGTTTTGTGCGAAAGCTCTATTGGAGTGTGGCACTAGAAAGAACATCAGCCACGGTGGTAAAGTTACTGGTTACATGGAAATCCTCTGTTGTGAAGACAGAGACTTCTGCAACGCTGGCTTATAGACAGGTCCTAAAGCTGACTGAAGATCCTCCACACACCAACATATGCCTTTGGACTTTTCATTTTTTTTTACAATAATATTTATTAATTTTCAATAGATATAACAAAAAAGAAAATATACAACAACACAATAAAGAAGTAAAAAAGAAGAAAAAAGAATAACAAACTTAACATACCTAAACAGGGAAAAAAAGGAAACTCAATTAATTAATTAAAATCCATTTTCATAAACATTTTAGTTGACTTCCTCTAATCTCCTCCATCTGAATTTCCTCTTAATTTGAATGTAGCAGTTTCCAATATCATTATTTCATAAAACAATATTACAGTCGTATTCCAATTTCTTTACCTATGTTATAATACATTTTCTTATTTATATATTTAAGTCTAATTTAGTCCTAGGCCTGACTGGTTCTTTCAAGTGGTTACATATCTTTAATATTAGAATATTTATTCAAATAGTCTTTAAATTTCTTCCAATCTTCTTGGTAGTCCTCTTTCTGGTCGCGGATTCTCCCGGTGAGATCAGCCAGCTCCATAAATTCCATTATCTTCATCTGCCATTCTTCTACTGTTGGTAATTCTTGTGTTTTCCATGCCTTTGGACTTTTCAGCTCCCTTTCCCCATGTGTATTTTTGGAAATCTGTGTGCCTCTGTGTGATTTGGCAATCAAGGTGTCTGAATTAAGAGTTTCCATTAAATGAAGCAAGCACTAAATGCCATGGCTACAAAGTTAGCAAATGGAAAATGCCTACACTGCAATGGAGCAAGGTGTGGTGAATGAGAGGCCTGCTGCATTTGTTTTCCTAGATGGGCAAGAAACAGTTGGCACAAAACTAGTCCTCCGAATGTTCTTCTTCTGCCTAACATGACTGCCAGGGCTGTGCATGGGACGCTATTTTAAAAGAAAGCTGGAATATTCGTCACCGATGAATTCTTTCAGAGGAGGGGTGTGTGTGTGTGTGTGGTAAATTCACACACACTACCACCTTTCTGGCAAAAAGTCGATCAGAGAAATGCAGCATAGATAGTATATTTATGCAAATATATGTATTGCTTTTTCATAGCCTCCCAGATCCACTCCATGGCCACAACTTGGGGGCACCCTACAAAAGGACTATCCGTCTGCCTCAGATGCAGTCCTGAATTAGTTCTAGGTCTTGGGTTAAAGTTTATTTGGGGGCGGGGAGGGTTATACTGTTGGGGGTGGATCATGGGAAGGAGAATTTGCAGGAGGTTCGATTCTATTGGGTGCTCATTTCTAAGCAGCTTCTCTGCAGGAAGTCAATTGAAAAGCAGCAGCCTGCACCCTCCAGGATCACTGCCTCTGCTCAACAGCTGTTGAGAGGAAGCATGAATTGGGCAGGGTTCACCTCAAGGGGTGGGGGCCTGACGGAAAACTTGGGCAGGCATGGCTAATGCAAAGGGACAACTGAGGAGCTGTTTATGTCTGCTTCACTCCAACTCTCCCTTCGTCTCCTTGCAGTGCTGAACCTCCCTCCCTCTACACTATGTCCCCTTCGAAAGTAGTCACCTTTTCCAGAATTTGAGTAGGATGGGGCAGGGGCATAGTTCACAACCCTAGGAGCCATTGATAGCATTGCCTCCACAAATTTAGCTCCTCCTCCTTTAAATAGGTAAAGGACCCCTGACAGTTAAGTCCAGTCGCGAACGACTCTGGGGTTGCGGCGCTCATCTTGCTTTACTGGCCGAGGGAGCCGGCGTTTGTCCACAGTTTTTCCAGGTCATGTGGCCAGCATGACTAAACCGTTTCTGGCGAAACCAGAGCAGAGCATGGAAACGCCGTTTACCTTCCCACCGGAGCAGTACCTATTTATCAACTTGCATTGGTGTGCTTTCGAACTGCAAGGTTGGCAGGAGCTGGGACCGAGCAACGGGAGCTCACCCCGTCATTGGGATACGAACTGCCAACCTTCCAATCAGCAAGCCCTAGGCTCAGAGGTTTAGACCACAGCAGCACCTGCATCCCTATCCTCTTCTTTTAAAGATACCCAAAAATAACATGAAGCAATAGCCACTAACACTGTGCAAGACCCCACCCACTGCATTTGGTTTGGAGTCTGATTCAGTTTCCATTTAAGAGAAAAGGACTGAAAAACAGTTATATGAAGAAGGCTGGGTTCTAAATAAGCAGACCAAATGCCACCAAACTCTAGCATCCAAAGAACTTGCAAAAGAGTGAGTTAGTGAGACTGAGCTGCTAGTTTTCACTTCCCCTCCTCACCAAGTGAGTTTGGATCACAAAACTAGTGCTGTCATTCTGCAAAGTGCAGTTCCACTCCCACCCCACCCACTCTGGCATTCTCCTTATGTGGTGGTGCTGTTTTGCAATACTTTGGAGATACACTGTCTGGAGTGTTTTGCGTTCCAGATTGATCCACATTGCTACAAATGGTCCAAATTGCTACAAATCTCCCTCTCTGTCCAGGGACATTGATCAGGGTTACCCTGGCTGATTCTATGCAAAAAGTGGACCCCCAAAAAATCCAGGAATGGAATAGATCGGGGCTGGGGAACATTATCAAGATCTCCCTCAGGGGCCAAATTTGACAGGTTAGCGTGGCCTGTCAATTATGGGATGACATTATGCAGTTGACAGACAGGTGTCCCCACCCACCTGTCAAAATCCCTTGCAGGGTTCCCAAACACTTCCTGATGCTGTGGGAGGAGAGAAAAACAAGTTCTTCCTGGTGATTTGCCCAGCAGCAGTAGGAGCCTGGGAACCCTGCTGGCTTTCCTTCTCTCCCTTTCAGTGGTGGTGGCAGCAACAGCAGAAAGGGTGGGACGAAGCTTATTTTTCTCCTTTGGGGTGAAAGCTCTGTCCCCCACCTCAACCAGCCAACAGCAATGGAAGGAAGGCAGTGGCTGCTGCTGTTGTGTGAAGGCTTTGGTGGCCAGTGGACTTAAATTCCCTCCTGTCCCTTTTTAGTCAGATCTTGCTACAATCTCAAAGAAGGAAGAAGAGACTCCCAAAGGCTTTCCCCAGTCTTTACATGTCCCCCACCCCACCCCACCCCGCTTTGAGACCACAGTGAGATTGGCTTTAAAAGGGAAGGGGGAGAGAAGTGTTCTCCCTTTCCTTCTAAGACTGATCACACTGCAGTTGGCAGGATGGAGTGGAAAACTCCCAAATGCTCCCAAACTCTTTTAAGACCCTGATCTGCTGTTTTAATTTCCACTCTTATTAAATCCTTCTGCCTAGGCTGTGTGATCCTGTTCCCTCCTGGGAACAGTGCTGCACAGGAAACACAGGATTTAACCCTGTCCTCCTGCTCGGCAGCTGGCATCGGCCGTGACATCAGCTGATAGACAGTGGAACTCACCATGAATGCCTTCCTCGTTCTCTTATAATGGCAATGGTAACTACCTGAAAGGGGTCCAGCTGAAAAAAAAAGTTCTGGACCAAAGCATAGAGAACACAATTCATTGTACCCATTTCAATCATAGATGGGAACCTGTTTGCTAAAGAAAAAAGATGCATGTTGACTCCTGAGACGGGGTGTGATAAACACGAGACAATAGGAAATAAATTTCTTGGACGTACTTACATCGACTATTATATTGAATGCCTGTTCTGTGTTGACTTTTGCAGTGATAAATTATAAATTGGTCAGAAAACTGATTGAAGAGCCACCGTATCCTGAGGAATGCAAATGGACTTTTCCTGTGGGATGTCTCCTTCCCAGCTTTATTTTCCTATGCACATTATTTAAATTTGACCTTTTGTCTGATTCTGTGGTCTGACAACCAAGGAAGGGGTTACCTGGTATGGAACATAAAGCAAGACTAAAGGTGAATCTATACTCCTTGTTTTGAGCTACAGTTGTTTTGACCCCCCCAAAAAAGTAGAGATAAGAAACACTTTATTTTACAATTATGCCCTGTGACATTTTAGAATGATATCTCTAATATCGTTCTAATAACGTTAAACAGGTCTGTGTAGATCCATCCTAATTCTTGCTGAATGCCGTGCTGCTTTCCCCTCTTTCCATCACTGTATCATTTTGACACCAACAGAAGTGGGCAGTTTCTTGCGAGTCCCGTTCTGGGTATTCAACATTAGTTTCTCCTAAATTAACATGCTCTATAGTTCCAACTGCTAGGAAGAAATTTGGGCCGGATAAGTATCCTCAGTTTCCAAATATTTGGGTTTCGCTGTAAATGTTTGAGAACAGAAGTGCCTTTATACTACCACCAGAAGTTGGATGTTAATAGTCACAGCACCCCCACAAACATGGTCAATATGGAAGGCAGTTGAAAACAATATTTAAACAGAATCAAAATCACTTGCTTTATCAATCATTCATTTGTTTATTTAATCCACATTCTAATAATGAATTATTGTTACTTTGTTTCACTATGCACATTGAACCGTTCAGATTTGCAGTACATTGATATGCTTTTGAAGCATCTGTGTTTCTTTTCCTGTTCTTCCTAATATATTGTTTCTGTACTGAGTGTTATCAGTCAATAAACCTTTTAGTTTAACTTACAATGACAACTCTGTGGTTATTAACTCTATTTCTATTACTATTAATTCATTTTTGTCTTCCTTCACTCAGGTCCCAGGGTGGCTTACAACAATTTTAAAATACAAAATATAACATTAAAATAATCAAACATTCCTCACAGAGTTGTGATGAGAAAGGAAAAGAAGGGATTGCTCATGCTTTCTTGAATTTATTGGAAGGATGAAAAGAGGGACAAATTATCCAAAACATGTAATAGTCAGGCTAGATTGGTTGAACCCTTGGAGCTGTACCAGTTTGAGTTTGAAGGACAGAAAAACATGGCTCTTTATAAGACAAAGATGTGCCAGTCTGGTTAAAGGAACCAATATTCTTTTGTTTGCTACTATACAAAAACAAATGCTCAGAATAGGGACTTGTTCATCAGTTGAGGAGCAGGGATTAAATCCTGATGGTTTTGCAGCAGAAGTCTTGTTTCCTGCTGGGAACATGGTGCACAGCCAGTGCATGATTAAGCCCTGCCCTTCCTATCTCACCAATGATGTCAGCTGAAGGATGGGTGGGCATGGTTTGGAAAGAATGGCCTCACAGGCTAAATTAGACCCTCTGGCAACCCAAGATTGATTGGCTTATGGGACTGAGGTCCTGGTGTATCATAGAATCCTAGAAATGTAGAGTTGGAAGGGACCCCATAGGGCATCTAGTCCAATGCCCTCCAATGAAGATATCATACATGACAGATGGCCATCCAACCTCCAAGGAGGGAGAGTTCATCACCCCCCAAGGGAGTCTGCATTTTGAAGGTGTTAACTTGGTAGCCATGGACGACACTTAAGATCTTACTTTTGAATATATATATTTTAATGGAAACACTTTAGCATTCCGCACTCAGAGCCATAATCACACTCAGAGTCATGCCTTTAACCACTATGAGCATGGGACAAAGGAAAACTAAAGGGCACAGACAATGCACACATGCGCTGATGTCTGGAGGATCTTCAAGCTGCTTCCAGTGCCGTGAGAAATTTGTCATTGCAGAAGTCACTGTCTTCGCAGCAGAAGAATTCGGTCCACTGGTCTGGGAACGGGGCGGGCTCTGAGGTGCCGCACTTTGCATCTTTCTTTGTCCTGCAGCTTAGTGTTTGTATTTGAAGATGACCATCTGTGATGGCAGAGAATAAAATGAATGGAAAGAGGGGGGAAATGAGTAAGCATTTCCATTTATATTTTCATAGGTATATATACTAGGTGCTGCTATCCCTGCTTGCATTGCTCACCAACCCTGCCTGGCTGGGTGCCCACTCCCTTCACGTGGCCTCTCTCTCATTCAGCCAGGCCACCCACACATTTGGACCCCAGGCTTCCCTTCTCGACATCGTTTGTAGGTGCACTGCCTTGAACCCGAAACATTGGGTGCCCAGGGTGTGCCACCATCACCGCGGCATGTGCACATGCGCACACGTCAGCACACCCTGTGGTGTGCTGATGTCACTTGCACATGCCACAGGGAGTGTGTGCACCACCAAAAAGAAACTGGGGGGGTGATCATTTAAAATTTGTGGGTGCCCAGGCACCCGTTGTTGTTGTTGTTGTTGTTGTTTTGTCATTTTGTTGTGTCCGACTCTTCGTGACCCCATGGACCAGAGCATGCCAGGCACTCCTGTCTTCCACTGCCTCCTGCAGTTTGGTCAAACTCATGTTCGTAGCTTCGAGAACACTGTCCAACCATCTTGTCCTCTGTTGTCCCCTTCGCCTTGTGCCATCCATCTTTCCCAACATCAGGGTCTTTCCCAGGGAGTCTTCTCTTCTCATGAGGTGGCCCAAAGTATTGGAGCCTCAGCTTCCAGTCCTTCCAGTGAGCACCCAGGGCTGATTTCCTTCAGAATGGATAGATTTGATCTTCTTGCAGTCCATGGGACTCTCAAGAGTCTCCTCCAGCACCATAATTCAAAAGTATCAATTCTTCGGTGATCAGCCTTCTTTACGGCCCAGCTCTCACTCCTGGACCCCGCTTAGTTGGCTCCTATGTCCTCCTATGTCCTTTTGTGCACACATGCAAGTGGGAAAATGGGTGGCAGCAGGAATATGGAGAACATGTGAATGCCCACTTGGGACCACCCAACTGCTTGCTCTGCCAACCTGTAACCTGGCCTGCCTGGTTTCCACACTCCACCTGCTGTTCTTTAGCCGCAATTCTTACCAAAACATTATATAGTAAGATATATATTTTTGAGTGTCCAACACCATTCCATTCAAGACAGGATTTTAGTCCAGCACTGTTCTGTGAGTGCACCACCATGCGGAGGGAAAGGAACAACCTGGTGTACCGCTAAGACACTGGCAGTTGCACAACTCACATACTGAAAGTCCACATTTCATTCCCTTGCATCCCCACATTAAAAGAGAAAATCAAGTAGTGGGTCTTATAAAAGACCTCTGCTGAAACCCTGAAGAGCCAGTTCCAGAGTATGCAAAGGGCACAGTAATGAATCATTAATCATCAGTGTGCAAATGGCTGTCCTTCCTGGACTCAGATGTTTTGACAAACAGTCATACCTTGGAAGTCGAATGGAATCTGTTTCGGAAGTCTTTTTGACTTCCAAAACATTTGAAAACCAAAGTGTGGCTTCTGATTGGCTCCAGGAAGCTCCTGCAGCCAATCGGAAGCTGCGGAAGCCTTGTCGGACATTCAGCTTTCAGTCACTTCCAGGTTTCAATCGTTCGGGAGCCAACAAATTCGAGAACTAGGCTGCTCAAAAACCAAGGTACATCTGTACTCTGCAACAAGATATGTACCAAACTGTGGGAAGCAGATGGAACTGTAAACATGGAATTTGATGTCAGTGAAATTTGCATTGGCATTATTGCTCCATAATTAAGCCCAAAGAAGAGGAAGATTAGATTACTTACTAAGGTACACCTTTAGGGCATGGCAGGTTTGCCTTTCAGGATCAGCTTCACAGGCACGAGGAGGCAAAAATTCTTCCGATGGACTGGAGGAGCTTTCCCCACATTGCAGCGTATCAACTTCGAAAGACAAATCATCCTGATTATAATACCAAGCTTGACCTCAAGTGACAATGAATGAATAATCTATTCTTTGATGTCACTGAAGTTTTCCATATGAACATGCAGTGCAGAATCCTTAAATTAAGGATAATGCTGGCTGAATGGATGCAAAATATTAACTATTTGACGCCCTTTAAGATTAGATTATGTGCTTGTGAAGTCACTGAATGGGCCTTATGAGGAGCTTTTGAAGGAGCTTGGTAGGTTTAGCTTGGAAAAGATGAGACTGAGATGAGATATGTTAGCCATCTTCAAATGTCTTAAGAGCTGTCACATGGAAATAGGAACAAGCTTATTTTCTCCTGCTCTGGAGAGTAGGATTCGAACCAATGGCTTCAAGTTACAAGAAATGAGACTCTAACTAAACATCAGGAAGAACTTTCTGACTGTAAGAGCTGTACAACAGTGGAATAGTCTCCCTCGGGAAGTTGTGGACTCTCTTTGCTTGGAGGTTTTTAAGCAGAAGTTGGATGGCCATCTGTCATGGATGCTTTAGCTGAGATGCCTGCATTGCAAGGGGTTGGACTAGATGATCCTTGGGTATCCTCCAACTGTATGATTCATTAGCAATGCAACTTCTACAACACAAGTTAAAGGTCTTTGGATCATGCATGTGGCACTCACTGGGACATGGTGGGTCAAGATTCCAGTGAGAGCTCATTTGCTGTTTGTTGTAGCTTGGAAGTGCATGACCACCCTCAGGGGTCACCACCAGCTTCTGGACCTCCCAGCCTCTTTGCCCCAAACCAATACCTCAGCAACTGCAGGGCGCTTTCCTTATGTGCTACTGCTGGTGCAAGCATTACCACTGTATGCATTACTGCAGGCAGACTTTTCACCTTTTTCATCCATGCATGCACTATGGTTCACAAACTTGTTTTGTGGCACCACCCCCTTGGTTCCATAAACTTATCTGCAATATCCTCAACCCTTTAAAAAGCATCATTCAGAACAGCACAACCCACCAAGGAAGATAATAGCACAATACAATTCAGACACTAAACATTAATTGCACATTTTTTCAAAATCCTGTTAAAACTATTTAGTTTAATTCAACAAAATGGATGAACTTGACCCAGTGATGCCAGCTTTTCAAAGTCTGAAAGTCATTTACACCTGCAGCACCCTCCTGCTGACACCTGCCTCATCGTGCCCCCTAAGTAAGATCACGTTTCAGAACCACGGCTGAGGTTTGCTCATGCTTTCCTATGTATTGAAATGAGTTACTATTGTCCCCTTTCTCTTTTTTAAATGCTTTTGTCTATGATACCTTGAGTGAACTTCCTTCTTTCAGCTCTGGGAGAAGGAACTTACCTTCATGTGGAGGGAAGAGAAAAGCACAGATAACAAGGAGCAGGAGCGGAACCCTGGGGGACATATTGGAATCAAGAGGGTTCTTTGCACCACAGTAAAACTCTAGGTTCTTCAAAGGAGACACAATGATGTCCACTCCCTCCCAACAAGACAGGACAACCTGCTTCTTTTATCCCTTTACTGGCATGTGTACAGAAGCATTCTGTCCCCATTAACTGTGGACATAGGGAGTTCAGTCGGCACTGACTGGAAAGAAAACGAACACACATTGTAACACTGAAGCGAGGGGAGGACGACACTGTTTTGTACATTCTAAGACAAGATGTGAACCTTAAAAGAACTATCCCTGGAAATTTACACTTATTTTAATTTTGTGATATGATTCTCCAACCAAATAAATATCTTTTCTTCCACCTTGGGTGGCATCATGCCAAATTGGGTGAACGCCTCTTCAGAGGTGTCCAAATTAGTGTAGTTTGGAACAGTCTAGTCTGCCATCTTGATCCAAAATGGCATTCAACGCTTTCCAAATGTAGACAAAAAACAGCTCCTACATTTCAGAAATCAATATGCCAGAAATCTTCACAAAGTCTTCATGGAAGATAGTGGCACTTCCTCCCATTATATATCTGACAAGTGCCTTCTCTATTTTCTTTTTAGCACCTACTCAAAACATTCCACTTTGAACTAGCCTTCTTAGTGGATATCTTCATCCAAGTTGATATTGGTATTTCATCTGGAGTGAATTTATTTATGTTATCTCTCTCCCCCCTGCCTAAGAAACAGTATGTGACTTTTCTCCTTGATCTGGGCTGATCCAGGGAACTCTCAACCAGGATCTGGTCCCAAAAGCTAATTGCGAGCAGGGCTAACATTTAACAAGGGCTTTTTAAACCCTGTATGGTGGGGAGACACATTGCCATGGGGGCAATAACCCATGGTGAGAGACCTATTGACACTGCTACCTCAGTTGGTAGAACATGGAATTCTTAATCTCAGGATCATGGATGTGACTTGGTTACTGTGGCTGGCACAATACTTCAGCCGAAACAAACCTGACTGAACAAACTCCACATTGGGCAGGTGATTCCTGCACTGCAGGGGGTTGAACCAGATGATCCATGTGGTTCCCTACAATTCTCACATTTTAAGATTCTTTGACCCCTGGCGCTAGCCCAACATTAGTTCCGTATCAGACTGTTTTACAGTTTTGGAAGGTTCAGCTCACCATCTTGATTTAAAATGGAGTCCAATGGTTTCCAATTATAGAACAAAACCCCTTCCTTAGTCCCAGGAATCACCATGACAAATTGGGCAATGAAATTTCTGTGAGGTCCCAAGCAGTGTAGCTTGGTATTGTTTGGTCTACCCTCTTGACATTGCAAAATGAAGCAATTTGCAATGGTAAATCTCCATGGGATGCCTCATGGGAAGCAATTCATAAATGAAACAATAACGAAATAAATAAAGTTGTTGAAAGGGAATGAAATTTCGGAGATCGCAATAATGGATAGTTAACTTTTATAAATATTAGTTAGAGACATTTTCCCTTTGAAAACAATAATAAACACAACCCTTGTTGGCTGCCCATTTCATGACTGTGGACAGCCAGAGATGATGTATTGGGCAGACCCAAGAGCAATACGATGTTTTTCTCTCATTTAACAGAGGTTGCAGCAACACCATACATTTAAAGAACTCCTACACCACTTAAACAGCCATGGCTTCCCCAAGAACTGTAGTTTCTTAAGGGTGTTGACCTCACAGTGCTACAATTGCCAGCACTCTTAAATAGCTACAGTTTCGAGGATTCTCAAACCCAAAGTAGTATAAGAGTGCTGTCAATGTATAGCATAGATCTGAACATAGGGAAAACCCATTCTACAACCACAGGTGTTTCAAAGTTGGCCTCGCTAGCTGTTTTTGATTCCTTCTGTGGAATTGCATAGGCCAGGGATGTCCAACCAGTAGATTGTGACCTACATGTAGATCCCCGGCTGATCCTGGTAGATCGCGGGATCCTTATCATGTTCAAAAAATTACAAGGGAAAAGCTAAAGAAACTCTGTTCGATCCTCCCCCCCAAAAGCTCAACAACTCTGGGCAACCCACCCACCCCACGCACACTCCTCCTCCCTCCAATGACAATGGGTAGATCACTGTCAGATTTTTTATAATGGGAGTAGATCACAGTCTTTTGGGAGTTGGACAAGCCTGGCATAGACTACTGAAGATATTTGCTTGAATGCTTCCTAGCTTCCTGGTTTTGCAACTGGTGACTACAATCTTAAGCACTGATCTGTACATATGTTGAGGGCTTCATGCCTCACTGGAATGTGATCATTACAATGTGCAATTGTTATTTTGCAACCCATTGCCCATGGGACCCTCTGTCTCTGATAGGGATGGAGTGCACTTAAGCGTATCTGGACAAGCACATCATCAAATGGATAAAAGGAAGCTGCTTGTCTGCCCCAGTAGAAGTGAGTGGAGATCACCATTGCCTCCTCTGTAACCAAGAGCTCTGCTGTGGCAAGATGTCCCTCATGGTTCAAATGCTGCTCCTTGGTATTTGTGTTAGCCTCTTCCTTCCTCCTGGAGGTAAGTTCCCTTCCCCAGTGCTGGGAGACAGTTTTTCAGATGGAAGCAATAAACCTTTGATTACCAGTTGTTGGCAATCACAAGTGAAGAAAGTGCTGTGGAGCATCTGGTCAGGCACTGTGAGAAGAGGATGCTGAACTCAATGGGCCACTCTCCTGATCCAGCAGAGCTCTTCTGAGGTTCTTCTACATAAATTACACTTGAGGTTCAAGGTTGGTATTTTGGAGTCTGAGAGGGACTCAGAGGCAATATGTCTCCAAATAGCAGGGGATTCACCAGTGGCTGAAGTGCTACTGAGCTCACATGCTACTTGTGAACTTCCCAAAGGGATCTGTTGGGCCTCTGTGAGAACAGGGTGTTGGACCAGCTGGGCCATTGGCCTGAACTAACAGGCTCTTCTTGTGTTCTTATACATTGATTACCCATTTATTATCACCTGAGTTTCAAGACTGGTTTTCTGATAACCTTGAGGTTCTCCCTTTTGATGCAGATGCATTGACATGTCGACTTTGCATGTCCCCATCTGAAGGGAGTCCATGTCGCCCTTTTTCAGCTACATGCTCAGCAAAACCTAAAACACAAGTGTGCCATGCCTACACAGTGACCAAAGGTAAGAGTTCTACATTTCCCCATTGCATATAATTATGAAGGGTAGTATAATATATCACAGAAATACCTTTATAAGGAAACCTATGTTGCTATACTAACATGGCAATCAGGGACATGATGCTGGCCATGAAAATTTCATCAATATTTCTTGCTGCAGAAATTCCATATTATTACAGTCCTTTCTCTTTTTGAAGTTTTTTCCCCTCTGGTGGAAACCGTAAGTATGTCTAACGTCCTGCATTCCAGAAGAGCCCCCATGGCCTAAAGCAAAGATGGAGAAAAGATGAAGCTCCAGATTTGTTGTACTAGAGTTCCTATTGGCCTTTGCAATTGACCAAGCTGGCTGGGGCTGGTGGGAGCTGGAGTCTACAACAAGTTGACCATTCCTAAACTCAAGGATAGGCACAAAACTGAGCAATGATCCATTATTGGGCACTAGCTAAGAGCAACTCCTGAGTGTTCTTCAGATCACCCTCTACCTGATCTATTTTAACTGGAGACCTTCCGTATGCAAACCATTTGCTCTGCATGCTTGTTCATCATACTGGTGTGCAGTGCAGCTTTCCCCACAAAAATAGTCCGGGAGCACAGCCCTGTCCCTCCTGCTTACGTGTACGAGCTGGAGAGGCAGGGCTGTGAGGGGATGGGCAGAGCAGACGTGCAGGGAAGAAGCCTCCCTGCATGTCAGCTCTGCAAGCCGCAACTGTCCCTCCTGCATGCAGCCTTGCCTCTCTGACAGGCGCATGCGAGCCACAGGTACAGAGCGGCTTGCAGAGTGACGCTCAGGGTGGCTTCTTCCTGCGCATCAGCTGTTAGCCAGGAAGCTGAAAAGCCTCATCAAAGCCCCGCTGCACCTCCAGCTCATGAAAAAACCCTTTTCAGAGCCCACAGAGGATGTCCCCTTTGTGCTCCAAGGACAGTCTTCTCATGAGTCAGAGGTAATATGGGCCCAGAGGTGTTACTGCTGAAAAAAGCCCTGCCAGTGTGCCAACTGATTCACAACTGTGGCACAACCTGGATCCTGTAATTAGCATGGCTGATAGTTTCACCACACTCACAAGTGGGGAGAATGAAAACCCAGGAGAGGACTTCATTTGTTGTAAACTGTAGATGTGAGGTGTAGTAGCCTCGGTGTCCAGAGAGCATAAATATAAATGTCTTCTCCTTTTCTCTCTCTACTTTCATTCTGCCTGTCACCATAATAGATGGGAAAGTTCAGCAGAAAATTCTAGGCTGCAAGCCAAAGAAATCTGTAGTTTGCAACACCAGCACCAATACTGATGGAACTGAGGCTCGACATATCTGCTGTGATGACAGAGACTTCTGCAATGAGGATCTGTAGACAGGAACTAAAAACAACCTGAAGAATGACTGCAAATTGAAGCATGTATAGGATCTTCTGCTTATGGTCACCTTTTTCTATATTCTCTTCTTCCGTTTATTTGATACAGAGTTTTCAATATTTTTTTGAAAAAAATTAAAGCAACTGCTACACACAAATACAGCTACAGCAGAGCAAGATGACAATGATTATCTATCTATCTATCTATCTATCTATCTATCTATCATCTATCTATCTAACTATCCTCTATCTATCTATCATCTATATCTATCTTTTATCTATCTATCATCTATCTATCATCTATCTATCTATCTATCTATCTATCTATCTATCTATCTCTCTATCTCTCTATCTATCATCTATCTATCTCTCTATCTATCTATCATCTATCTATCTATCTATCATCTATCTCTATTATCTAGCAATCTAGCAATCTATCATCTATTTATCCTGCGTCCATGCCATAGTGGCTTTTAAGTGCTTTATAATCATCAGATCAATGGTGAGATCCAAATGTAATTAATATACACAATAAAACAATTTCAACAAAGCATCAAAAGCATTCATATTATTTTCAGATTTTGGAGATGTGATTTCTGGAGTGAAACTGAGTCATCTATCAAGCATTGCCACAACTTTCACAACCTATACTTCATTTGCCACCTTGTCTGCCTGCTTCCCTGTGCTATAGATGCATATGAGGATATTGATAAAACACAAAAGGCCACGTTAATGTGACTGCATGCACGATGGGGTCAATACAAGTTTTCTCCAGTGTTTCACAAATGCACAAGGCCTGCAACTGTGGAGCAGGAAGGCACTGCAGAGGTAGATTTTGGCTGCACCTATACATATCTAGGGGTGCAATAATCTATTCTTTGAAGTCACTGCAGTTCTCCATACGACCATGCACTGCAGAATCCTTAAATTAGGGATAATGCTGGCTGAATAGATGCAAAATATCAACTATTTGGTGCCCTTAAAGATTAGATTATCACTGAATGGGAACCCAAGCCTTACAAGGAGCATTTGAAGGAGCTTGTTATGTTTAGCCTGGAAAAGAGGAGACTGAGACAAGATATGATAGCCATCTTCAAATGTCTTAAGAGATGTCACATGGAAATGGGGGAACAAACTGTTTTCTCCTGCTCTGGAGGGTAGGATTCAAACCAATGTCTTCAAGTTATAAGAAAGGAGACTCTGACTAAAGATCAGGGGGAAAACGTCTGATGGTAAGAGCTGTTTGACAGTGGAATGGTGTCCCTCTCTCATTCTATAAGTAATGCAACTTTTACAACACAAGTTAAAGGTCTTTGGATCATGCATGTGGCACTCACTGGGACTGGGACATGGTGGGTCAAGGTTGCAGTGAGTGCTCAGTTACTGTTGCAGCCTGGAAGTGCATGACCACCCTCAGGCGTCACCCCCAGCTCCTTGACCTTCCTGCCTCCTTGCCCCAAACCATCTCCTCCCCAGCAGCTACAGTGCTGCCACCACCTGCAGCATGCTTCCCTTATGTGCTACTGCTGGTGCAAGCATTACCACTGCATGCATTTCTCTTTTTTAAATGCTTTTGTCTATGATACCTTGAGTGAACTGCCTTCTTTCAGCCCTGGGAGAAGGAACTTATCTTCATGTGGAAGGCAGAGAAAAGCACAGATAACAAGGAGCAGGAGCAGAACCCTGGGGGACATATTGGAATCAGGAGGGTTCTGTGCGCCACAGTAAATCTCTAGGTTCTTCAAAGGAGGAACAATGATTTCCACTCCCTCCTGCCAAGACGGGACAACTTGCTTGCTTTATCCCCTTACTGGCATGTGTACAGAAGCTTTCTGTCCCCATTAACTGCATAAATAGAGAGTCCAGTGGACAGTGTCTTGAAAGAAAATGAACCCACAGTGCGTAACACTGAAGTGAAAGGGGCCCCTCTTTGGTATGAGTTATATCTGAGTCCATTCCACCCATGACCATCTCTGCAACAATAACATCGTGGACAGACTTCAGTTAAATGATCCGTGGTACAAAATTTGATTTAAAAGCTTGCTTGAGGGAAATAAGAAATCCATACAGCAGCAGTAGTTGCCAGCATCATGCCCTCCAGGTGTTTGCCTTGTGTTTTCTTATTTTCAGAATGGGGGCACGGAGCAAGGTTGCTAATTATTTGGTATGTTACTTGTATTTTCCTTACTATTAGATGTTAATGCCCATTTGTGTGTGTGTGTCCTACACAGGCATTCAGTATTATATGGATTTTTTCCTTTTGTGTACATGATGTGCATTTCTGTTTCTTCCAACTTTTATATTCATTCATTCATTCTCTCTCTCTCTCTCTCTCTCTCTCTCTCTCTCTCGTCTTCTTGAAAACATTCAAACAATCTCGTTACCTATTTCTAAGCAACAAATTGGTAGGAGGGGGACATTCATAGGTTTAGGGGAATGTTGAGGTTTTCAGTGATCACATGTAGCTATATATACCACAAACCATATTGATTTAACATCTAGACATTTCCACCACATATGCACTTCTTTGATTTTTGTGTTGCAGAAAGAAATACAGTGGTATCTCGGGTTACATACGCTTCAGGTTACATACGTTTCAGGTTGCAGACTCCACTAACCCAGAAATAATGCTTCAGGTTAAGAACTTTGCTTCAGGATGAGAACAGAAACCTTGCTCCGTCAGCGCGGCAGCAGCAGCAGCAGCAGGAGGCCCCATTAGCTAAAGTGGTGCTTCAGATTAGGAACAGCTTCAGGTTAAGAACAGACCTCCGGAACAAATTAAGTACTTAACCCGAGGTACCACTGTACCTTCTATTCCACCTTGGGGAGCATCATGGCAAATTGGGTGACTGTATCTTCAGAGGTGTCCAAAGCAGTGGAGACTTTATTCAAAATGACATCCAGAACTTTCTAAATGTAAATAAAAACCAGCTCCTCCATCTCATGAACCAGTGTGCCAAATCTGGTGACAATGTCTTCAGAGGTTTCCAAAGGCATTCAATATGTGCCTTCTGTGTTGCCTTTTTAGCACCTGCTAAAGACATTCCTCTTTCATTATTTTTTTTAAAAAAATTATTGGAATTTTATTTACAACATAACACAACCCCCACCCCCCAATACACAAATCCACCCTCATTAAACATGAACATAACATAACATACAGTGAGCATAACATGCAACAATACAAACAACCAAATAAAATACTTTATTTCTCCTGTATCTGGCCTCTTTATTTACTTCTTATAAACTGTTTCTTTTATGAATAATTATTAAGATTTTTCTAATTATAACTTAAATATCCACAAAGTCTCTTGCATTAATTGACATTAATTGAAACAAGTCCAGGTATGTATTTTAGGGCACTGTTTTGTGAAGTATTCTCTGCATTTCCCTCAAGCATTTTGAAACTCTTGTCTAGGGTGATCTCTAATTGCCTCTGTTAATCTAGCCAGTTCAATATACTCTAACAGTTTGTCTTGCCATTCCTTTTTTGTTGGCAGTTTCTTTTTTCCACTTTTTAGCAATTAGGATCCTTGCCGCTCCTGTGGCATAGAGGGATATTTTCTGATCTACTCTTGCTATACCAGTGTCCGTTATCCCTAGCAGAAAAGCTTCTGTATTTTTCATAAAGTTATACAGTGGTACCTCGGGTTACATACGCTTCAGGTTACACATGCTTCAGGTTACAGACTCCGCTAACCCAGAAATAGTACCTGGGGTTAAGAACTTTGCTTCAGGATGAGAACAGAAATCGTGCTCCGGCGGCGCGACAGCAGCAGGAGGCCCCATTAGCTAAAGTGGTGTTTCAGGTTAAGAACAGTTTCAGGTTAAGAACGGACCTCCAAAACGGATTAAGTACTTAACCCAAGGTACCACTGTACTTAAACATTTTTTTAAGCTCACCATACACTGTGTTCCAGAAGCTTTTGATGTTTTTCACAGGTCCACCAAACATGTATAAGTGTCCCCTCTGTTTTACCACACCTCCAGCTCAGATATGTTTTTGTCTTATACATTTTAGCTATTTTGGTAGGTGTTAAGTACCATCTATAAAACATCTTGATTAGGTTTTCCCTCAATACTTCACAGGCTGTAAATTTCCAGTACTTTCTTCACATACTGTTAAGTTAATGGGTTTCCGAATTCTGTCCCCATTAACTGTGGACATAGGGAGTTCAGTCGGCACTGACTGGAAAGAAAACAAACACACACTGTAACACCAAAATGAGGGGAGGACGACACTGTTTTGTACATTCTAGGACAAGATGTGAACCTTAAAAGAACTATCCCTGGAAATTTACACTTATTTTAATTTTGTGATATGAATCTCCAACCAAATAAATATCTTTTCTTCCACCTTGGGGAGCATCATGCCAAATTGGGTGAATGCCTCTTCAGAGGTGTCCAAATTAGTGTAGTTTGGAACAATCTAGTCTGCCATCTTGATCCAAAATGGCATTCAACGCTTTCCAAATGTAGACAAAAAACAGCTCCTACATTTCAGAAATCAATATGCCAGATATCTTCACAAAGTCTTCATGGAAGATAGCGGTACTTCCTCCCATTATATATCTGACAAGTGTCTTCTCTATTGTCTTTTTAGCACCTACTCAAAACATTCCACTTTGAACTAGCCTTCTTAGTGGATATCTTCATCCAAGTTGATATCGGTATTTCATCTGGAGTGAATTTATTCATGTTATCTCTCTCCCCCCTGCCTAAGAAACAGTATCTGACTTTTCTCCTTGATCTGGGCTGATCCAGGGAACTCTCAACCAGGATTTTATCTCCTTTACTTATTAGCCGTTCGCTGTTAGAGTTATTCCAGTCCCGCCAATGTCGTCAAAGTTCTACAATTAGTTCTTATATACGTCAAATATTTATTCCAGTTGTCATGAAATTTCTGTTCGTCCTGATCCCTTAATCTTCCTGTTATTTTAGCTAGCTCAGCATAGTTTATCATCTTGACTTGCCAGTCACTTATAGTAGGTATTACCTCC